GGTTTGTTTCTGTTCAACGAGGAGCAAGGCGGACCGAACCTCCAAGAACGTCGGGAGTGGCTTTTGATATTGCAAAAACTGAACTTGACCCTGGATGTCGTGAGGGAGGCCTTGAAGAACCTGGAGTACAAGGGCATGTTCGGTTACCGGGGCATCCACATCGTCGAGATACTCGGAGAGATTCTTGAGAAGACGACAATATTCGTTGATGGAGAGGTGGCCCTTCACGGTTGTACGGAAACGGTGCTCCAGTTGCATCGCCCGGGCATGCTTGTTGTCGTGAAAAAGATTGTAAATTGCCATCCATAGTGCATGAGCGGAGAGATTGTTGGCGAGCACAAGGTCGGAGACTTCATCCGTGATTGTAGACAGGATCCATCATTGGATGAGAGCATCAAATTGATACCATTCGGCATCGTCCGCGGAGGATGCGATGGTTGTGCCGTCGATGTAGCCTTTGAGGTTGAACCGGAGGATCAAGAGATGAAATAAATGACTCCACTTTTTGTAGTTTGGTTCTGAGAGACTGAGTTGAACAGGAATATGGAGTTTGATGTTGGATATAGTTGTGAAGGCGAGATGGGGGGAGTTGTTGGAAGAGGAGTTATCAGAGGTTGAGATCACCTTGCTGGAGGAGGCGGAGTTGGCGTCAGCCATGACTGCCGAGAGAGAGAGAGAGTCGGCGGTAGGGGGGATCTGCCGATCGAGAGAGAGAGGAGACGGGAGGCCGAGAATTAGGGTTGCTCCGATACCATGAAGAATGAATATTTTCACATGAATTATTATGGGAGATTACATGTGTATATATACAAAGTTTTCCTAGTGATAATAAGAAACAATATTAAATGCACCCTATACATTATGGTAGCTACCAATATACATTAATATTAAATATACTAAGAATATATTTAACAGGTGGACTCCTATTCTTTACTTTAAATTGGTCAACCTCTTCTTCCTCTTTCTCTTCAGGAATTCCTTCAAAACTGGAGAGCTTGACCATATTGTCTGCAATGGGCTCATCTTCTTCCTTCCCATCTCCTTTTTTCTCAACTTCTTCCTTCCCATCTTCTTCTTTCCCATCTATTTTTCCTCTTCAATATGGTCAACCCCTTCAAAACTATAGGGGTCGACCATATTCACTCCAACCGGCTCTTCTTCCTTCCCATCTTTAATAGCCTCTTCATTATGGTCCACCCATTCAAAAAAGGGGGGTCGACCATATTCACTTCCACCGGATCTTCGACCTTCTCATCTTCTTCCTTCCCATCTTTTAGTTCATCCTCTTCATTATGGTCCACCCCTTCAAATATAGAGTGGTCGACCTCATTCACTTCCACCGGCTCTTCTTTCTTCCCATCGTCTTCCTTCGCTTCGTCAGTCCTTCCCTTTGAGGTGTCAAGTAAGGTTAAGAGAATTCTTTCTTCTAGTGTCTGAAAGTTTCTTTCCAAGAAATTTTCAACCTCTTGACATAGCGTCTTTTGAAGCTCAGAAAATTTACCATCAATGTAATCTTTCAGTGAATCAGGCAAGTTTTGACTAGAATTTCCACTAAAAGATGAAGCCTTGATATTGGTTGTCCTTTCCAACAGAGGGCTCTGCGTTTCCAACATAGGTCTGTGCTCAGCCTTTCCATGTGGGGTGCACGACTTTGATACTTTTCTCCTCCTAAGGACATACTTTTTGGAGGGGACTTCTGACCCCTCACTTGAAGAGTGAACTTCATCTGATGATGAATTCCTTCCTACAGCAACTTCATCTTCACTTGCTTGGGCCAGAAGTTGTTTTTTCATGCATAATTGAATATGCTTTCACCACCTTGGATTCCCCTTACGAATTCTCCAAGAGTTGGATTGGAAACAGAATGCAAGGAGGTCAAACTGGTGATCCAAGGGGCATGTATTTCATTTTCTTCTGAAAGAAGAATGCTCCTAACACTCTACAAAAGAAAGAGCATATTAAAAAAACGATTGTAGATCATGAAGTCGACCTTTACTTTAAATATCATTAAGTCGACTTTCACCTTAAGTCGACCTTGTACTTTAAAGTTTAGACCTTACCTTGGCAGCGTTTAGTGCATTGATTATGGCTTCGTGCGACGGCTTTTTTGAAATTTTATTTTTCCAGAGACACATTCTCGGAAGTGCTGGATTTGTTTGCTCCATCTTCACTCCAAATGTCTCTCTAAAATCATTAATGCACTCAAATAGGAGAAACTGCATTCAACAATAAATGAAGCCCAATTTAGCTAATGAAGTTATAGGAACTTTTAGTATCAATTTAAATTAATTTACTCACGGATGAGGGGAGGACAAAGCCAGTGTATTGGAGGGTGTTTGATGTTTTCCCGCCTTTGACAAGCTTCTTTTTTTCTGAAACTAAGTCCTTCCCCAAAGATTGGATACGGAGGGACTCCAGGAATGCCCATGTCCCCCATGGGAAAGGCATGGAATCATCAGAGTTTGCAACAGTGGCAAGGATCCATTTCGGAACTGGGGCATCTTTCTTAGCATGACCAATTAAAACGAGAACAACAAACATCAATGTCGCCACCTTCACTATCCACTGGAGTGCATACTCTTTATTCCCTTCATTGTCAAGTAGCTGGCACAATTTTGAGAACCTCTCGACAACTGAAGTGTAACATACCACACCGTTTGACCAGTTTTCTTTAACGAAAACAGGCAGTGAATCCTTATCATATTGCTCTTCGTATCCGGGAGCTAGTTGTGAACATTTGAGTCCAGTAATCAAGAAAAATTCCATTAGAGAGTATCTAATGGGAACTCCATGTACTACAAACCACATTTTAGAAGCTTTTGCTCCTTCCACATTAGCCTCCCTAACCATCAACTGCCATAACATGGCTGGAGGGGGAACAAGTTGGACATCAAGGAAAGCACCAAAAGGAGAATCTATCCTAAACACTTCTAGGATTTCTATATGATCGCACAACTTTTCTTTCATCAATTTTTGGAAGTCTTGCAGTGAAGACAGTCAGCTTCATATGTGGAAAGTCCTTTGAATTTACCTTCGTCTTTATCGCCGGAACCTATATAACGACATATAATGTCAACGAATTTCATATGGAAAGATATGCAATTAGTGCGACCAGGAGGTCGACACTTATTTTAGTCGATCAATGAAGTCGACCAGACTAAAAATTCATAAACCATTGTCCATTGGTTATTTGGAGAGAGAATAATTCATTTAAAATCAAGTTTCTGACCTCGAATGTTCCTTGTGTGGGCTTTGGGCTACCACTGTGCTCTTTCATCCTTTCTTCCGCATGATACTCATCGTTTCCATTCTTGGAGGAAGACACAGAAGCATTCTTCGTCCTCATTGTAGAAATTCAAGGTTTTCCGAGACCGGTGACTTTGGATGGGTAGGGTTTCGATCAAGTTTTGCAGGTGTCGAAGAGGGGGGATAGAACACACACAGATCGAAAACTCAATGGTCGCACGATGAAGGAAGATGTTAATACAGGGTTTTTGTATAGTCTCTTCCAACATCGTTTCGCCCATTCTCGGATTTTTTATTTAAATTTAAAGTTGAAATGCCGTTTACGCTTTGTTAAATGGAATAACTTTTCATTTTCTAAGAAGTGCGTCGGTCATACACGCCTGGACATTCCCGTCAATTCACCTTTACAGGGTAGTCCATCAAATACGAAACATTTACATGGCATTTTGATAAAAACTTCTAATTTAGGGGATAAATTTTAGTGGTACCTCAACTTTCACTGGAATTTCAAAGTGGTATCTAAACTTCAAATCTTTTCAAAAAAATCCCTGAAATTACATAATCCTTTCACTAAAAGTCCATTTACCCGTTTCCAGGTAAACTTACGGTCATTTGGGCTAAAATTAGAATTTTATATATTTTAAAATTTTCAATTTGACCTCATTTCTTTTTACTTCTTCTTCCCCTCCCAACCCTTCTTTTTCTTCTTCTTTCACCCCCTTTCTTCTCCTTCCTCTTCTTCAAATACGGAGTAAATTCCACTGGTCTCCCCACAGTACTCTCTCTCCCTACTCTCTCATTTATTCTCTTGTAAATTAAATTAAAATTAGATTAAATTAAAATTATTTAGGGATTAATTTCATGCTTCAATTGTACAATCTCTTAGATTAGAAGACCGCCATTATCGAGGCCATGCTCAAGCTTGCAAAATCACTAAATCCGAGCATGGTAAATCTCGATAAATACGACCTGTGCTTGAATCAAGTCAGCTTTTGAATCGTTTCAAGAAAGCACTGAATTAATGGAATAATGAATAAGTGGATTGGGGCAAATAAAGGAATAAAGGCAATGTTAAGAAGACGCCGACGGCAGGGAGTGGGTTGAAGCCGGGAAGTGGGTAGCGGAAAAGAGCGTACTCCGGTGGGGAGAGGAAGGAGGAGGGTTTGATGTATAACTAGATTTTACCCGTGCGATGCACGGTCAGAATAATACAATAATAAATAATTTTATTCGTGTAAAGAATAAATAAATTAGAATGAGTAAATATAGTAAAAAAAAAATTTTAATACATATCACATCCGAGTACTATTCATTTTGAATAACAATACACTTTATAGAGTTTTTGATCATTTAAGAGTGCATTACACATAAATAAATTTTACATATAAAGACTTCTTCATATACAATATTTGAAGTGTAGTCTAAAACATTGTTTCCTTCGTCACAACATAAAGTTGACTGTGACTAAAGACTGATTTTGTAAGTAGTAGGCAAACGTGCGATAAAGATTAACCCTGACTTTTTTGTCTGTGTGTTGCACGGCATGAAAATATTTTTTGAGAAAATAAAATTATTAATATTTCAAAAATAAGAACTAATTATACAATGGAATATAATATGTTTGTTTCATGTCATGAAAGGGAAAAGGGGAAACACAAAACATGATACGAAGTACTTTTTTTGTAGTACATCTAATATTTAGAAATGAGCATTCCTTAAAACGGTCTAGAACAAAAATTATAAACACAAAGGCCAGAAATTAGGCTGTCTTTAGAAAAACAAATTATGTACAACCAAGAAAATAAATTTCACCCAAATGCCACCTCTAAAGTATTGATTGATTACTATCAAGTCTTTACCCATAATATATTGCAATGCAACTCTTGAACTTTTGACATGAACTATTTCATATGTTCGCCTTTCATCAATTGTAATCGTATATTTACATGATTATCTTCCTTACCTTAACATCAAATCAAATTCATAAAATTTCTACCAAAATTGGGATTCATCCAGCTAGTTAGCGTCAAAAAAATTCCATCATAAACATAAAGCAAAACTAAGAGTAAAGGCATACCGAATTCATGCTCCCCATTCTCAAGGCTACTACCATGTACCATGTTCCTGCACACATGTGAAACTCTTGGGTTCAATACCAAAACCTCTAGATCCCCACCCATACCCTAGAAAAGAAAGAAGACCTAGTTTGTAGAGAAAAGTCATCCCTGATTTACCACGTATAACATCAAGAGGATTTAAGCTCATTTAGTCCTATTTACTTTCGTGCGGATGCAACAATGTCAATCCATTGCCAAGCCTATCAAAATAGGATCAAGGTCTGATGCTTCTTTAAACAACTCAAAAAAGCTAAGGACTACTCATATAATTCTTACAATCAGATTAAGAGATTATTTATAAATGCGGCAATCACGGTCACACACAACAATACCAGATGAATAATCAAAATTTCCGATGAATACTTTACTTTGAAATGCTAATTGAGTTTAAGGAGAATATCCAAAATTTGAGAACATGTTGTCATGTTGGAAAACAATAAAGCAGTACTAAGGAACCCAATTGTCACATGTTTATGTTAATCAAAAAAATAAACCAAACCATGTTATGCATACTTTAGCCTAGAAGTAGCAAATTATCACGGAGAGCTAAACCAAGATAAGAAACCTTGACGGTCAGTGAACCAATTTTTTGTAAAAAGGGATTGTTATTTTCCAAAGTAAATTGTAAGTTGGATAAAACCACAAAGAAAATTTCAGCACAACCATCACTAAGAACATATATTTTTTTAATAGGAACTTACAATGAGAGAAGTGGAACCAAAATTCAAGACCTCAAAACTAAAATTTAGAATATAAGGGGTGTTAAATGTTAATCAAATTAAGCGCAAAAAGATGTTAAAAACCTCAAGTTACCATTTGTCCATTATTCAATAGCCTAGTAGTAGAATTAATCAAACTCAAACAGACTAAAAGCCATTAGAATTATAGCAGAAAACTTATATGGGATGAAACTCTAAAAATAATTGCACAACCGGTTACTTAAGAGCAATAGTACTACCTGAATAGGAATTGACACAAACATATATATTGCAGCCAATCAGCATCATCGGCAAGATTGTTCCCAACACAAAAGTCCAACCACCAGAGTCGTTTGTATCCTTAGTCTCCATCATAATGAATAACAGACAATAATGAAAAAGTGTAATGAAGTAAAATAATTTGATTATGTCAGAAAAAATGTCATTTCTCTGGTCTTAATGAATAACTAAAAATAATGTAAAAGTATAATGAGTTAAAATAATTTTGTTTAGCTTGTCAAAAGAAAACTATTATTTTAAAAATGAAGAACATGACTCCTTTTTTCCACTCTTATGCCATCCTACCAATATTTTAGTTTTTGGTAAAATTGTATTCATAAAATTTATAAATAAAATGGACACTAAAATTTGAACACGAATGAAAGCTAAAAACTGAGGAAGACGATAGGAAAAATCAACTTCGTCATTAGATTTTTTTTATAAATAAACTTAGATCTCACTTTGGATCTAAAATTAACCTAAAAATCAAACTGAAATTGTTTTGGGTTCTACAAATTCTTCAACAAACCACTGAATCAGAACAGAGACACAAAAATCCTATGCTAAAAGTAAGATTTCTCACCATTGAAGATTCTGAAACTCTTGTGCATGCCCCTTTGTAAGATGGAAGAAGATGAGATCTTGTCATTCCTCTCGAACGTATCATGGGCAAAGAATGCTGGAGTGTAAGTCGACCATAACTTACGAAGAGCATTCATTCTTTTTTGCGCATGTTTCTCCCTAATAGTCAAATTCTAAAACTGGTTATCGATAAGAAACATTCAAAAATGAAATAATCAAAGGAAAGTTGATAATACATGTGTAATATATCGATATATATCGATTTTTTGTGCGAAGGGATCTGCCGTCGTCCATTAGGGATTCAACGAAGTAATTTTTTTTAGACAGATGTGATGTGCGTGGGTAGTGAAGTAGTGGGGAGGTTGCTGAAGCCTGTTTTACTTGACCCGACCCAAAAGATGCAACCGTCCGTCCAGACATTTGAGCGGGAATATATTCCTGCTGCTATTGTAAATAGAGATATCAGAATTAAATAGTGAGTTCAATTTTTCTGTACATTAAATAAGTTAGCTGCCTATATCCTTAAATTTATAATAGATTAATCTTTTCATATTTTGTAAAAAAGTCAGAATAGAAATATTGCCTTAAGTGAGTTCAAATAAGTTAGCTAGATAAACTCACCACCCTTCATATTGCAAATATCTGCACAGATAAAACCAAGTTTGCAAAAAAGAAATATCTCAAACGTAAATCCCAAAAGCATTCAATAACTTGTGAAGCCTTTTTCTAGTCTCGGTTTGATATATTTCAAAAGTGTAAGTCGACACCTTCCATGTATATGAGTTTTGAATGGGGAAGAGATTGCATCAGAATAAAGGGTAGCTACATCCTCCTACATTATTTATGGAAAAATTAAAGAATTCGACACAAAACTGAACCTAAAATTTTCTAGTATGTAGTTCAAAAATTCAACAGAGAAAAAGTGTAATGGAAATATTTTACCTTATGATAAGATTAGGACTAAATCAAAGGCAGTTATGAGCCACAGCCTTCTAGTGAGTCTGGGAAAAATTGAATTCAAAATCAATAATTGTTTGAGAACACAGATTTAATTAAAATTAATTCAAAATGAATTTAAGGAGGAAAAGTATACCAATTGAAGCAGGACCAGAAAAGGATACAACACATGCCTACATAATTTGCTAGTGATTTTATAGCAAAAACAAAACATCTTTTATACCTTACTAAAGAGGCAAAACATTTGAGCAAAACCCTAGCCTGATCCTGCCAAATTGGGGAATTGCACAATAGAGGGAATTGCATCTATAGAAACCCTAGCCTGGTCCTGCCATCCGTCCTCTTTGCATCATCATCCCTTTATCAATATTGTCTCTGTTCTTGTGGTAGCGCATGATGAGGATCGAAAGAAGAATGTGTGTGTCGCAGGGCTGAGAGGGTAGGTCTCCAATTTGACGGAAACATGCTGAAACCTTATCCTAGAAGAAACTGGTGGCGAGATAGTAGCGTCTAGACACTCTGAGGGAGATCGTGCTGAAATCATGCACGGACGGTGGATACAACATTTGAGCGGGTGCAGTTATGAGGTCTTTTTCAAAATCAATTTTAATATAATAAAATTAGTTTATTGATGAAGAAGAAGAAGAAGAAGGGGGGGAAGAAAAAAGGAAGGGAGTAGGAGAGAGAAAAAGAAGAAAAAAAGAAAGGAGAGAGTGGGGGGGATTGGGAGTGGGGTGAGGAAGAAGAACAAAATAAGAAGAAAAAAGAAGAAGAAGAAGAAGAAGAAGAAGAAAGGAGTGGAAGGGGAGAAAACAAAAAAAGAAATGGGGTCAAATTGAAAATTTTAAAATATATAAAATTCTAATTTTAGCCCAAATGACCGAAAGTTTACCCGGAAACGGGTAAATGGACTTTTAGTGAAAGGATAATGTAAGTTCAAGGATTTTTTTGAAGGGGAAGGTTCCCATGACATTGGTTCCCAATGACCTGAGGCCCTACGGTACTCCGTTCGTAAAATTGATGGTTCTAACCCCCTAACCTCCCCGATAAACCCACTAACTCAACCCGACCCCAACCCACCCACCCTCCCCCATCAATTGCACCTCACAAGATGTAGTTGACTTTGGAGTCAATTTTTGACTTCAAAGTCAACTACATCTTGTGGGGTGCAATTGATGGGGGAGGTGGGTGAATTTGGATCGGGCCTAATGGGGGGATTTACAGGGAGAATTAAAGACTTGAAACCATCAATTTTTTAAACGGAGTATCGTAAAAACCCTAAATAGAGTTCATGTCATATGATTACATGATGAGTTAATGTCATTACTTTGCCTATGATTATATTCATATTTTTGTTTTAAAAGATTTAATAGTAACATGTTTTCATCCTTTTTTATCGTGGAGGAAGATTTCTTATCCTAAATTAAGGGTAAATTTTAGTATTGGTACCTCAATTTTCACTGGAATTTCGAAGTGGTACCTAAACTTCAAATCCTTTCAAAAAACACTTTGGTTCCCATGACATTGGTTCCCAATGTCATGGGATGACCCGGGGGCGCTCCGGTGCCCCGTTCGTAAAATTGACGATTCCTACCCCCCGACAAACCCCC